ACGGCGATTTTAAGATCGAAACAAAAATTTTTGAAAAACGTCACGCCACTAATGGTCTGAGACAGTAGACTTGAAATGAATGGCCATTGGATGTTCGGCGCATCCTAAATCAGAATCAGGCGTTCACACCAAAATGAATAGGAGTTCATTTTCTACTAAAGTAAGCTTGGTAAACCCTTTTGTTCGGAAAATGTGGTGGAACGACAGAAACATCACTCCCGGTGTCTACAAAAACCTTAAGCCCGAATCTTTTCGATGACGAAAGGCGTGCAAAATTCCGGCCGCTGTCGTTCACAACTTCGACAACGGCCCTTCTCGTTATAAACGACACAGTGGGTGGCTTTGTTTGCCTTGTTTCCAAATTTTGGGTGGTAAAAACAAAAGCCCTGTTACGATACCCGGCTTTCATAACTTTTTTCCTCATGGGCTACGACGTGTATTTCGACCACGATGTGGAGCGGTTGCGCTGAAAAGGTTCAGCTTGGATGGCTACAGGACAAATCTCAATTTGAGCCTGTAGCGTCCGCAGTCCCCGACCAGGAGCCGCTGCCTGTATTTGCGCTGGACTGGGCCAACTTGTGAATTTTATCAGCGATTTCGGAAATTTTTTAAGTGGCTCCCAACTGGCCGCTAAAATGTTTGCATGTTAGATGGGAGTCTATGTATCCATATATGTTTTAAGAATGTTTCCGTTAGGTTACCGGTGGCTAAGTCTGGCATTTAGACAGCAGTTGAGAAGGCCTCCTATCACCCAATCGAAATCGCGCAACAACTGCTTTTCTGTCTATGATTTCACAACACAAATTAAAATTTTTTTAAAGATTTGTATTTGTCCGTCGGCAGTGAATTCAAAATTATTTCACGTTTAAAGATTTGTATTTGTCCGGCCGGTGAATTCAAAATTATTTCCGATTGATGCAGTACCTCGATTCTACACGGAGATCGCTTGTATAAAATTGAGTTTCGTCGGCAGTAATGCGACTTAACTGCGCATCCAATTGAATGAACCATAACGATGGGTCTGCGACAAAAAGGTGGTGGCTTTAACTGCCACTCGCGCCAATTGTGAAGCAGCATCGTTGTCAACCACTTTATATCAATCAAATACGCACAATAATAATATGTATAGAAAAATAATCAATTATTTTATTGACACGTTTCTTGGTATGAATCAAGAAATTGGCGCTCAAATGCTGTAGACGATACTATGTCCACTGAAATATACATAAATTTTGACTCACCGGAGGCGGCACAACGCTTTAAATGACAGGTGAAATGTCCTTACTTGCATCCATCACTGGATAACTTACTGCTGCTCAGAATTTTGACATATGCTCCATATTCGTGCATCTTGAATGTTGCTATTCGTAATAAGTACGTGTCACCAATTATGATAGTACAATTTTTTGAGACAGATCATTAAATATTATAACAATTGAATAAATAAATATTATTTTGTTCTTTGTGCTATGGTTACCAACTGGCAGGTTGATTTGTAGTAGGCAAGTTGCTACATATCTTTATCTATAATGTATATTAACTTTAATTGTTTAAAACCTGCACTTTTTAAAACACTTATAACACCTTTTGAACTAATTCTAGATCATCGTATGTCTGATTTTTTTTTCCGCCGACACAGATGCATTCCGACCAAGGATAGTGTATTAGTTAGTAGTGACTATTCTTAATATATTTTGAGTATTTTATGGCAAATTCAGCATTTTTTATTATTTGCATTATTTTCTTATTCGAATATTTATACATTATATTACTGAAATTTTTTATTGTGTGGGGGGGCGCCAAAAAGGTATTTTGCCCCGGGCGCCAGTCATGCTTGCTACGCCACTGACACCCACGGTTTGGCGATTAGTTCCCCTAAAAATCCCAGCTGTCCTTTAAAAAGGGGAGTATATAAGATATTTCTCCTGCCTTCGTGGTGTAGTGGTTCTGCACGTTGGACCGGTATCCAGAGGTCCGTGGTTCGATTCCCACGAAGGCGATAGCTATTTCTCTTGCTTTTTTTTTTTTTTTTTAAAAAAAAAAACCTAATGTCTCTACAGTGTAACAATCTAAAAATTTTAATTTTCTTGTGTTAGTACTGAAAACAAATGCAGAATGAAATGGGGGGGGAAGCAGAAGCAAAAATTTAAAGAGGAATCTACTTCCAGGAAGTGTGGTTGGAAGAAAACACTCAAAGAGAAAACACTTTTGACGTGTACACCAGCAAATGGCAGCAAATGAGTTAGTGCTAATGGAAAAGACAAAAATGATATCATTACAGATTTAAGTGAAGAGCGACTGGTTTTCAACTACAGTACAAAGTCCGTAATCCCGACTATTCCGGATTATAAATCATCAATATAAATCTGGCAGAAATTATACAATTAAAAATGTGAAACCATAATTTATGAAATAAAGAGCAATTACGATCTAAAGGCTATCAAAATTTACAAAAAAGCTTAATATTTATTTGTTTACTTTATTAAACATTTCTTTCAACATAAGTTAAGATGCTTCCAGAAAAAATTCAAAAAGTTCATTTTCTTGTGTTATCCAATGCCATACTCCTCGCATAATTTTGAGAGGGATATGCCTTTATTTATTTTTTGCAGCAATTCCACTTTTGTTTGATGGACATCGAAACATGGTTTCCTCTGTAGATCCTTTGACAGCTCCAGAATTGGAAACTCTTTTTGACAATAATCAAAAGTTCAAACTTAATTTTTATAAAATTGCTCTAGCAGTCTGCAAAAAATAATAAGCCGAATCCAATTAGAAGATTAAGGAACAGCGCAATCTGCAACATTAACTGAAATGCCTTAGAATCAGTAAAGATAATTTTAACCTAGCTTATACTGTCCATTATAGATTAAACACGCATGCGTAAAGCATACAAAAAAAAAAAAAAAAAAAAAAGTTTGTGGCTTTGAGGTCCAGATTATAGATCATTCTGGATAATGGACTTTGTATGGTTGTATAAATTTACTTCACAGAACATCATATTGTATCATAAACGGAGCATCCCTTGATTTCTCAGTCGAATTATTTAAAGATTCCATGATTTATCCAGTGACATATATCAGCTAAAGATGTTTTCCCTCTTGATGAAACCAATCTTTCCTTTCATCTCACGCCTTCAAAATGCTTAGCCTGTAAAGTCTGATAAAGGCTCAGACCAAATACTGATAAATGGATTGATTTGGATTATTAAATTATGGCAAAGCTGGGCTATCTGCCTTAAAGGAGGGATGCCTTAGTGTAGAACTTTCTAAGTGAAACCAGCTTGTATACATGTTACACATGAAAAAAACTATGAAAACGTCCATGCAACCAGCCCATACGCCGGGATTCCAACCCCGAAGCGAACTACCAGTATTCAGCGACTTTACCGCTCGGCCATTTGTGGGCCCTTTTGAAATGGAAGACGATAAATTTATTTAAAATTAATGTCAGAAATACCAATATTTTTCGAAAAGTTGGATGCTTTTTAATATACTTACACAGAATGTCTGAAAAAATTTTGTTAATTTTATGATATTTGATTCTTGCGATTTCAAAAATATTTTATTAAACTGACTAATATTTTAAGAAATTAAATATAGGATGATAAAATTGTTTAAAGCAACGTATGCAAGTCATCCTAAATTAAATTGTCAGATATATGTCTCTCTTATTCATATATCTTTTCTGAATGAAACATTGAAAGGCATGTTAACTGTGCTTTTACTGTTTTCCTCTTTTAATATATATGCAATTTTTAAATGCATCATAGTCTGGGTCACAAAGTATTCTTCCAAAAGAAATGCAATTGAAATAAATAAAATCAAATTCTGGAAAATTTATATTAAAAAATATATTTAAAATGTGCAGTTTGAATGAATGAATAGAAAATTTTAAAACAATTATCTAAAGAGAATGCAACAAAAAAAAAAAAAAAAAAAAAAAAAAAAAAAAAAAAAAAAAAAAATTAAAAATTACCTAAAATAATAACTGTTGCTAAAAATATAGTATAAAGAAAACTATTTGGAAAAAAATAATAAATGATGAACCTTTTATTTAAGCTACGCAGTTCGAATGAATAAATAGAAATTTTTAAAACAGTTATTTGAAAGAAACCATGCAGCTTACATAATTGAAATGGAATTTTTAAAATAATATATTTAAAATAATAACATAAAAATATACTATAAAGAACACTATTTGAAAGAAAAGAATGATGTGACTTTTTTCCCTGTCACACACAATGTAAAAAGGAAAATAGGATGCCATATATTAAGAAGTTCGCCAAATGAACTATTCTTGGCACAAACTGGAAAAAAAAATGGCAATATAAATTGTTGAATTTCTCCGTAAATTTCGCACCAAATTTGACAAAATTTAATATTTAGGCATAATTTATGTCGTAGAATCGAAATATGTAAAAAAAAAACAGGTATTTTATTTCAGAAAAAGTCTGATTTTGTGTCAAAATACCTATGTTAGAATAGTGCTATATATAAATCTAATATATATCCTAAGTCGAAAAACGCAATTTGAATTTTGTCAATCAGCCCAGTAGAACGGGGATATAGAACTGTCTTTTTTTTTTTTTTTTTTGTGCAGTGCACCTCTACAATAAAATGGCCACCTTTCTGGTCATAGGAGTGGCCAGTGCTGATGATGTAAGTGCCCACCATTGGATTAAACTCATAAATTTATTTCAATTAATGTTTATATGAAATAACACCAATCAAGTCGTGAAAGTAATATTTGTTTTTCGCATACCACTTGATTGATGTTATTTTTTCCTGCTAACAGTAGATAAGATATACTGTGGCCAAAAAATTAATTTTTGATCCATGAAACCAGTTTTTACTGATGCTTTTTCACCTTTTTTTTTTTAATAAAAAAATCTCGTGAAACTACATGTCAAATCATAGATATGCTAATAAAAGAGTAACATCACAATCAAATATTAATGTTGATCATGTTTAGAATGCTCTAAAATGAAATTTACATGATTTAAATTAAAATTTGCACATATTTATTATTTTACAGTATGTACATGTGAGATTTCACTGTCTTGATTTCTTAAAACCTTTTTTCTTCCCTCCACGGAATAAAACATTTTTAACATATTTATTCTTCTTTGCTTTCTTCTTCTTTTCATCCTGCTTTGCTTTTTCTTCACTTTTTGGTTGCTTCCTATAAAAAGAAATATATTGTTAATTTTCAAATTAATTATTATGACTATTGTGTGGATGTGTCAATCTACTGATAATCAGGTAACCCTTTTTCTTTCAACATTTGCTTTTCAAGCATTTGTCTGAAATAGCAGAATCTATTTGTCATTTAGTTTGGTTTATTTAATTATGGCAAAGCACAACTAGGGCTATCTGCCTAAGGGGAGGGATGCCTTTGTGGATGACTTTCTAAGGGAAACTGGCTCGCATACACGTTACACATGGGGAAAACCACAAAAACGCCCGCGCAGCCAGCTCGTTCGCGGGATTAGAACCTCGGACCGAACTACCAGTGTTCCGTGACTTTACCGCTCGGCCGCTGTTGGGCCATTTGTCATTTAGACTTTCATCCCTGAAACACTGTGTAAGTAAGTACATTACAAGAGGTGACTCTATCTACATCTGTAGAGAGGCAACACATACATAGTGAAACCTTACAAACAAGTTAAACCCACACCCTTGTTTTGGGCTAGCACTCAGCCATCACTGGTCCATGGTCGCTAAATATATAAATTAGATTAAATTGAAAGGAGAGTTCTTAATTGTAAAAAATTTTGGGAAATCTGCATTCTCCCCTTGTGGCTGCGCAGTGCTGAAGATGTATAAAGTTCAATGCCATACAGTTCTGCGGTAGAAGTCAAGATGTGTGTGAGAGAAGACTGTATATTCTTCCGATGTCCTGGTCATCAGCATGGCCAGTAGTTGTAAATCTCTTCAGCGTCATGCACCAATCTGATATACGGAATACTGACATGGAAAGGAGCTGTTGAAGATTATAATGGAAATACAAATCTAGCTGAATGTCCCAGACATCTTAATGAAATATCACATGGAATTATTGGTACACAGGCCATAAGCTTCAAGACCTCTTTAAAATGTGCTGAATATAGATCTCCCATCTTTACATTTTTATATGTAAAATATTAATTTCTAATAATTCATTATCAATAGCCATTTAACTCCTCTCTTCTTTCTAAAAATAGGGAAAGGAATAATTTCACTGTCTTGATTTTATCTTGTTTCTAATATAATCTTTACTTTCTGTCATTCTGAAAAGTGATCCATTATCTGATCTCTATTGCAATTATTCCAGGAAGGCACTGAAATCTTAAACCAGCATCTCAATATTATTTAATCTGCTATGTATCTGAAATTTAATTCACTTAATGTAAACATTCTTCCAATGTGATCTGAAATGTAATCTTGTGTAAAAGGTCTTTGCTGGCAGTCTCCCTCACTTTTTGGTCCGCTTTCTCTTTGTTTGACCCCATGCTTTGCCCTGCTGCTAGCCACACAGAGTTTACTTTGCATTTCGTTCACCCTCTAAGAAGAACACAAAATTATATGTCACACCCATAAATGATACTTGTTAATCTGTTTATGTATATCAAGGCTTATTCTATTACAAAAAATCAGAAATCAGATGAAATCTTTTCTTTCTGGTTCTCTTGTCTAATATCATATGACTGCAGGTGCAGAATATTTTTCACCACATGCATATCTATTATTAGAAGTAAAATGGTTTTTTCTTAGATTGTTAATAAAATAGACAAGAGTCTCATTTTTCTCTATATTTAATACATAATTTCATAAGTCATCTTGCAAATTTTTCTCCACGTTACCTCACATAATTTACATAATCGCCTTTGCAAACTGTCCTTCCTCTTTATAATTACATATATCATTAAAAGCAATATTTGCTTAAAAAATAAAGTAATAATATAGAGAATGCATTTTTTACTGTATTGTTAAATAATCTTATATGTATACTGTATCGTTACATATTCTTATACTCTTTTGCAAATTCTTTCACACATATTAAGTCATCAATTTTATCGAATGAAACAAAGTGCTAATGGTGACCTTACACAAAATTTCCACTGTACATAAATATATACATATATATATATATATATAAATATATTACACAATTTTTCAACAGAACACACATTTTACATTACAAACAGTTTACATTTATTAATTCGCAATACCACTTAACTCTATTTTACTTCAAAAAACTTACCCTCTAGATTGGCTTAACTCCCTAAATAATTTATCGTTAAAATTAAAACTTGAATTACATACCTTTAGGAATTTTAATTTTTAATTTTTTCTAGATTTATTTTTATTTTAATATTACTGTTTGCAAAAAATTTTTAATAACAAAGATAGCAGCTTGGCACTCAACTTTACCTACATAAGCGCCATCTATATAATTAATTTGAAGAACACACTTACTTCTCTTTAAAAAACACTTTTGCAGACCCCAACGCTCATTTAGTAGGTAAGTTAGAATTAAAACTTACTATTTACTTGCCTTAAGTATTTTTTAAAATTTTTTATGTAGTATTTAAGTATTTTCTAAATATGAAATTATATTTTTAAGTATATATTTGTTTTTTTTAAAAATTGTGAATTAGTTCTTTTTGTTTCTTCTTATTGGTTTATATGGATTATGTCTAATTCTTTTAATTTCTTTTTATTGATATGCAAATTCGTGTCGGGGAGGTTTTCTGTAGACAAGGGTTTCTATACATTAGTTTCTAGATGATTTTTTTATAAAAATTATTTTTTAAAAAAAATTAATTTAAAAAAAGTTTAATTTAATTTAATACTTGACTTTACTTGCTTGTTTCTCAAAAGACTTCATTAGTATTTTCCTTTTAGAACTTTAATTCTTAAATGCTAATTTCTAAGGGTACCACTTTATTGGTATTTCTTTTTGGACATTCTTCCCTTTTTACTTTTACCCTTGCCTGCATGAATGACGAAACACGAATTGAAAGATTGGAGAGTTAGGTTTGGAGGCAACTTCCCCTTGATAAGTCTGTCTCCTGCCTGCTCAACAGTCATTCATTTATGCATTTTTTAAACAAAATTTGGATTTGGATTGATTTTAATTTTCTAAATTAGTGAATTTGTTTTCATGGATTGGTTTTGTACTTGATTTGCTTATGCTTCTGAATTTAAATGATATTGTAGATTAGTTCGAGAATTAAATTTTTTATATGTTTACACATTTTTTTGGCTTTAAATTTGCTTTTTTTAATTTTGAATTTAAATTTGCTTTTTTACTTTTATACGTGTTTGATAAAATTTAAATTTAATTTGTTTAAATATAAATATATATATATATATATATAATTAAATGATTTAACATTTGAATAGTTTAATGATTTATAGATATGCTACAAAGGATTTCATGTAATTTATCTGCACATTAATTTGTAGATTAATGTGCAGATAAATTACATGAAATCTAATTAATGAATCTGTGCAAAAATTATGTCACATTTGTGAAACTTGTTGTGACTAATACCATTCAATCAACAGTAACATGAGATCAGATCTCAGATATCAGATCCCACAAAATTCATTGTGGTAAGGGGCTAGATTGTGCCTTGAGCACCATGTAGGTGACAGTACAACTCTGCACAGTTCTGCCCCCAATTTTGATGGAGAGTGCCTTTGGGGGGGGACTTGTAATACAGTCAAAAGTCTTAATCCAGACTCGTCGGGACTTTGGCGATTCCGGATTATAGATCATCAATTTAAATCTGGTAAAATGCAAGCAGAAATTATAAAATTAAAAGTATGAAACCGTTATTTATGAAATAAAGAGCAATTATGATCTAAAAGGTATCAAAATTTACAAAAAAAAAAAAAAAAAAAAGCTCAATATTTATTTGTTTACTTTATTAAACATTTCTTTCAACGCGCGCATGCGAAAAGCATACATTACACATAGTCGGAAATTAGAAAATTGCAACCAGAAAACTATTTGATGTGTATTTGTGATACTCATGACAAGGAATTTGATTTAAAACAAAGACGGAGAGTACATCGAGATGAAATACTACATTTAGCAAGGAACTAGCGGGCAAGCCTGCCCGCTTTTAATTGTTCGTTTTTAAAAGAATTCCCATGTTAAAATTCGCCGGTATTCGAAAGTTGGACCGAAATACGAGATTTTAGCAGTTCTGCTCAGGGTGCACCCGCTTTATTTATGCACTCATACAGAAGATACTCCATATATGATACAGATGCGTAAAATCATGAAAACACCCGTGTAGCCAGCCTGCTCGCCAGGACTCGTAAATTGGACCAAACTACCAGTGTTCAGCGGTTTGCGCGGGCTCCGCTTGCTTTATTTACATATGCATCCACAATATACTGCCAGAAGGTACTGCATATATGATATGCATGCGTAAAATCACAAAAACAGACATGCAGCCAACGTGCTCACCGAGATTCAAAAGTTGGTCCGAACTACAAGTGTTTAGCGGTTTTGCGCGAGTAGCGCCCACTTTTTTTACGTATACATCCACAATATACTGCATACACGTTACACATACACAAAAATCACGAAAACTTCTATGGAGCCAGCCTGTTCGCCGGGATCTGTAAGTTGGACCAAACTAAAACACCCATGGAACCAACCCGTTCACCGGGATTCATAAGTTGGACTGAACTACCAGTGTCCAATGGATTTGCGCAGGCTTCGCCCACTTGATTCGCGTATGCGTCCAGAAGATACTGTATACACGATATGCATGGGGAAAATCACGAAAGCACCCATGCACCCATTTATGGTGCACACATAAATGATACGGAACGATAGAAATTGATACTAATTAACACCGCATTGAGAATTAAATTAACGTCAACACAGTACTAATTAGATAGTAATTAACAAAATAAATATCAGCTTAATGAATGATACAATTTGGCATACTCATCGAATGACACTAATTAACTGATAATACAAAATCATACTAATTTATGCATTTAAATAGCATAAGTATCTAATAACAGCGAACACTATGGTAGTAATAATGCAGTAATTAATTGCTTGAACAACAATACTAACTAAAGCAGTGAATGATTGCTTACCTCAGTTAAAAAAAAATGAGCACGCTGATTTACGCTATTAGAATTATTAATTTCGATTACTCAAAGTTGCTTAGTTAATCAGATTTAAAAGTTAAAAAAATTCACTAAAAATTCATATCTTGTGAACCAATAATCCGATCGGCTCCAAAATTTAGAAATTTACGACTGATAGATGGTCAAATGAGGGATGCCCTTTGTCCTAGATTGACTGGCAAATTAGATGATTAATTAGCATAATGACTAAAAATACTCCACAACGTTAATTTCCCCCTGGGCGAATGGCCTTGAGGATTCCAACCATGGATGCGAAACCATCTGCTCTCCCCAGACGGCAGCTTCCCACTGTCCACAAAAAAAAAAAAAAAAAAAGGAAGGAAAAGGTATTAGGGCTTTTTTAATGACCCTACTAATTACGATGCTAATTCGCAAAACTGTTTGCAATTAATGCCAAGTTTCATTTGAATTTCGTCCCTGGCGAATGGCCTTGACGATTCCAATTGTCCACTGGATACAGCTGCAACCCCTCAAAACCTATGGCCTTCGAATCCCAGCTTGTCCACAAAGATATGGGAAGGAAAGAAAATGGAGTATTAGGGTGTTTTTAATTACTCCATTAATTAGGCTCCAAATTCGCAAATCAGTGTGGAATCAATGCCATCAGTCGTTTCATCATCTCGCGGGTTCAAAATTTCAAAGAAATCGCACGGTAAGATTCCGAGTTACCAATGTTTTCTGCAATTTTTGGCCTAATTAGCATCTTGGCTAATTAAAGTCGCAAGAAGATGCCAATGGCGAGCCACGGTCGTCCTGAATCCAACGGTATGTTTCGCTAAGATCTGCATTCAGCCGTTCTCGAGAAGCTGAGGTTACAAACAAACAGACAGAGGGCACATATTTTAATTGTATAGATTACATAAGCCGAATAAAATAAAAACATCTGCCCTGAAGATAAGGATAGTGCTGACAGATCAACTTCCAGTTCATTGCACACCGCAACACGTTGCAGCGTGAAATTGATAAACATATTTCGGAATGGTTAGCGAATCAAAGGATATGCTCCTTTATCCATTTTTTGCAGGAATTCCACTTTTTGTTTGATGGACATCGAAACATGCTTTCGCTTTATAGAACCTTTGGCAGCTCCAGAATCGAAAATTTTTTTTGACATAATCGAAAGTTCAAGCTTACTTTTATAAAATTGTTCTAACAGTCTGCAAAAAATAATAAGCCGGATCCAGTTCGAAGATTACGGAACAATGCAATCTGCAACATTAACTGAAATAGATAATTAGATAATTTTAGCTTAGCTTATAAAGTCCGTTATACATTAAACGTGCATGCATAAATGTAATATGCGCATGCGTGGACACGCATGCATAAAGGTATTATGCGCATGCGCAGAAAGTTTGTTGCTTTGAGGTCGGATTACAGATCATTCTGGATTAAAGACTTTTGACTGTATGTATATAAAACTATTATTATAGCTTTCAATTATCTTCACTTTTAGTTCAATAAACAGTACTTTATATAACACCAGAAAAAATAGTCATGTGAGATAATATAGTTACAAAATAACATATAGTTAAAGGAGAAATATCAAAAATAACTACTTTGTCTCAGTCTAATAGCCGAGATTTGTGCTCATGATCGGATTTAAGATATTCATACTGAAAAACTTACAGCAACAAATAAAAAAGAAATAACATAACGATCTACGCTGCGAATTACAGTATGCCACTTTACACACGCTAAAACTCACACTTCCTCTGAATAACATCAGTAGGGTATGCGTATGTCTGACAGATGGCACCAGCATCAATTATTATGAATTATTGAAGTCAGCTCTCGTTTGACGGTTGCTTGCTCTTCTTTGATTCCATATTTGTACACATCTAGCTCCGCCTTTCCACATAAGCTCCACCTACTTCGCCTTGCTGTGAAACAACACATTTTGCGATCTTTGGCATGATGTAAAGTTTTTTTACAAAGAAAAGAGGAAGAGAGAGAGCGAGAGCCTGTCCTCCATTTACCCCTCCCCATTTGCCGGTCGCGATTTCTCAACGGTTCTGCATCGATCTCAGAAACAGCCCGGGCGACGTTCAAAAAAGCGGAATTCCGCGAAAACGCAGAAAACTTTCATGCCTGTAGCTTAGAGTACTTTCTGCACATATTTGGTATAAATACCACTTGCAAATAAACTGCGGCCTTTCCCTAGCTTCCGCCTTGCGAACATCTCTATGCTGGTATGACCTGCTTTGTTCTAAGATGATATAATGCACACATAAAAAATATTGTAATTGCTTATGATCTGGAAATAGCTTATCTACTACGGAATGATATGATATGCTTGAAAATAAATATTGGTGATTTGTTGGAATCCAGTTTTGTCATCTTCGTCTTGTCTTCCCACTCTGCCATCACTACTACCACTTATCAAAATTATTACATATATATCAGAAATACAGGGTAACCAAAAAAGTCTTTTCTTATATGACATTGGAAAAGTGAACCCCAACAAAAAAATAGTTGCCAAACCTGGTGATGAAGTGGTTAGGATGGAAGTCCGGACATAGACTAGGAGTATAATAGCTCGTTCCATCGGTACTTCAAGCATAACTCACACAGTGACTGATTGAAATGGACGTGTCAAAGGCACTCGTTCGGAGTTGTTTGCTGTAAGATTTTAACGTGGGTCCTTCAGCAACAGAATCAAGTCGCCAAATTTGTCAGGCTTTGGGGATGATGCCGTTAACAAACAAAACGCTAGGCAATGGTTCCAGAAGTTCAGGTCAGAGGATATGTCTCTTGGTGCACTACGCGGCACTAAGCCACAAGCGTTAGACGTTCAGGACCTGAGAGCAGCCACAGAGAACGACAGTAGTCAAACATGTGGTAAGCTTATTGCACACTTCCAGGTATCTGATAAAATGATCAGATTCCATTTGCACCATAGGAAAGACATACAAGCTGAGCAAGTGGGTACCTACTCACTGTCCAATGCAAACAAGTAACAGCGTGTTGTCATTGCTTACTCGGCACTGCAATGCATCCATATTTGATTGAGTACGCACCAGCGATGAAAAGTGGGTCCAGTATGACACACCCAGACGTTCCAGACATTAGCTGCCACCATGGAACGCTGTGCCTCACACTGCGAAACCTTCTTTCCACCCACACAAGATCAAGCTCTGTATCTGGTGGACTAGTCACCAAGTGGTACACTACAGCACCTGCCAAGTGGGCCAAACCATCACAGCAGGTCTGTACTCGCAGCAGTTGGAACGTGTGCATCAGGCACTGATGCATAAAGAGGTAGCATTGGTCAATCGTAAGGGTGGACTCCTCCTCTATGACCATGCAAGGCCGCATGTGGCTTGCGTGGCCAGACACACAATCCAGCAACTGGGCTGGGCTACACTGCACCATACACCATACTCCCCAGATCTTGTGCCAACAAACTACCACCTTCCATACTTTGGACAACCATCTTCATGGGAAATACTTCAACAACTGGCCAGACCTTAAAAAGGCCCCAACAGACTTCTTTACATTCAAGACTCATGAGTTTTACCGTGATGGCATAGCATAGCTAGCCACTTGTTGGCAAAAGGCACTAGATGCCTATGGTGATTACTTTAAGGATTAGCGGTGATTATTGTTTTATGATTTTTCTTTCTGACTGCCCAAAACGGCAAGAAAGTTTTTAGTTACCTTGTAGATTTGTGGCATGACACAACCATTTTATTTTCCAGATTTATAATCTAGTATGTATACTCTTCTCTTTTATGAAGATAGTTTAATAGGATCAGCATTTTCAGAAAATTCAAGCTAACCAAAATTTATATTTTAATGCTAATGGCTGAAATTTCAAAGAAAATAATATTTTACATTTCAAATTTAATTGCCCTATAAGTATTTTAGATAAATGTTCTTAATAAAGGACTGAACCATATAATTCATTACATAATACAATATATTTACAATGTTTAAAAAATTAAAATACTTACAATGGCTTTGTCATGTAACGTTGTAATGCCTATAAAAGAAAGAAAATTTTTAAATACACAAGGAACTTCACATGATATATAACAAACTTATAAATTGTATGACACAATGCAGTAAATAAACAAGATAACCATTTGAGAAGCATAAGCAGTAATGTTTAATTTCCACGTGTACTGTAGCATTTTAAATCTCTAGGCATCAGCAATTTTAAAGTAATTTAATAAGTTTCCTGTTTACACATAGCTTTATTTTCCATCTAATAGGGGGACCGGAAAGTAATGTCGCTTTCTTACATTAAATTCAAATGAATACATTTTTAACAAGTTTTTATTTTTAATCAATAATATAATCGCCCTCGTTATCAACAACCTTTTGCCATCTAATGTGCAGATTTTCAATACTGGACTGATAAAAATAAATTGGTTTTTGAGTAAAATATCTCGAGAGGCCGTTTTGGACATCATCCAAATTTTCAAATTTTTTGCCACTAAGAAAATGTTGTAGGAATCCGAATAAATGGAAATCCAATGCTGCGATATCGGCCGAGTATGGCAGTACCCATCACCCCAATTCATTAATTTTTTCCAGTGTTCGTCTTGCACAGTGCGGTCTTGCATTGTCGTGTTGCAGAATGATGCCTTTTCTGTTGACAATTGATATTTTTCGATTAAAGATTAGTTCACTCCATCCAATTCTTCACAATAAAGGTATGCATTAACAGTTTGTCCAGGTTTCAGCAATTCAAAATGAACAATTCCGCGAATACTCCATCAAACATCCAGAAGCACCTTTTTGGGATGTAAACCCTTTGTAACCCCTATGAAAACTGCCTTTTGAGTTTTGGATTATCATCTAGGACTTTTTTTTTTTGTCTCCACTAATCAAACGATCAAAAAACGGTTCTGTATGGTGCCTTTAAAGCAATACGTTGCATGTGATGGATAGGTTGGCTTTGTTCTTTTCGGAAAGATTATGGGGGGACTCAAACACCTGCTTTGCTTATTTTTCCATTCTGCTTTAAATGTTCTTGGATGGTCGACCAAGGTTGGTTAAGAGTGTTTGACATGCATTTGCTTCCACTTCTGTCCTTAGCATGATGTTGTCGACATGCGCAGAAACGACATTACTTTCCGGTTCCCCTATTATATTTATGTTGTATTATTTTTAGATCAAGAAAATCTCTTTTGAGATTTTTAATGATAAAATGTGCTTTTAATTGCTCTGTTATTAATTAGTAAATATACTCTTCAACAGCCAAAAACACTTTCGTGACAAAACACTGAAACAAAATAAAGACAGTTTCTAACTATGGCTAATATCTTTTGACTAAATCTAGAAATGGTTAGTTGAAATTCAAAATAATGGTAAAATGTTACATAGTTTAAGCTTTCTGTTTTACTTATCAAGAGTTACTATTTTAATAACTTATTATGTAAAACAATAACTACATTTATTTAATCTAAATTACACATATGAAAAAAGAGTATCCACTAGATTAATTATTACTAAATCAATTCTCATAGTTTTATGAATTATTTTATAAAAATCTCCACAAGCATTCTTTACAAAATCAGAAATAAACATATCAAAATTACTGCTAAATTAATTCCTCCATACCTGAATTTAGTTCACACTTTTTAAATAAAAACTTAAAATGATTAACATATAATCACAAATTATATCAATTTTTATTCTGAATGTTTATACATTAAAAATACTTCTTTCACCAGTATCATAAAACAAATTAGTATATGCAGAATTTTAAAACTTATTTCCTTTTAGCATATTGTCTCTGATTAGCCTTAAATGTTAAGAATTGCTAAATTTAAAAAAAAAAAAAAAAAAAAAAGAATAATCTCTCCTTTAACATTATGAACTATTGCCTATTTCCTTATTTGGAGGGAAAAGAAAACTCGATAAAAATGTTTTAAAAATATGTAAATTAAATTGTTATATACAACATAAATTATTTAAAAGGGAAAAAAATATATGTGCTAATAATTGATGAAAGAAGATTTAACATAAATAACATGCATTTAGAAACTAATAATTTTGTTTATCCTGCTTATTACATTCATAATCATTTCCCACATATATCATTTACAATTAGTATAATTAATTTTAAAAGAAAGGTTATTAATATTTTGAACAAAATACATACCTCTTGAATGTCTAATTTCGGCTTTTTCTTATCTAGCTCTTCAAATATCTTCAAATTGTTCTCTTTTTCTGACTTCATACTGCTCGGTATGTTAGGCTTAAACTATAAAACATTTACAACTTTAAATTTATTACTAGTTTAAAAAAGACATGACTGTTTAAAAGGTAACATCTTTCCACTGTAAATAATATATTCTAAAATAGCCTCAATTTACTAAATTAACTCATAAGAAAAGTTTAGATAAAAAAATATTGCAAGCTTTCAAGACATTTAATTTCTTAATATTTAACATAATTCCTTCAATTTTACATTTATTATAGACATAAATTGCAAGGTAAATAAATAATGACAAAAAAATTACATCTCATTCTAATCCAATGTGAAATTACTATTATAGGAAGCATAACATTCTGAATTTCTATAAGAAGAATAACAACTTCTTAAAAATGAAACTTTCCAAACTCCAATCAATTCCTAATTTACCAAACTTTCCCCAAAAGTCTAAAGTGCAACTTTGTTTTCTACAGAATAAGATGAAAATTACTTTAACAAACAATCAAAGTAAAATCTACTATGCTGTCTCTGGAAAATACAAAATGTATGCGATAATAAAAAAATAAAAAATGTATACGATAATAACAGTGATGGCTGATAGCATCCCAAAACTTATTTATTTTGATCCACAACAGTATGTAATCCAGAACATGTAACTAAAATTTTGCCTTTTCTATGCAAGTCTAAACTTGAAAGCATTAGTCAAATGCTTTTATAAATATTGTTCTTTATTGCTAGTTATAACTTAATTTCTTCATTTTTCATAATGTTTATTCTTTCATTATTTGCAGTGTGTTCTTTTAGCCCTGAATATCAATATAATTTATATAACCAAATGAATTTATTCTTCAGATTAAACTGCTTGAAACAGAGGTAAATTATTGTTAATAGTGTTTTTCTGTTATTAATAATATGGGTTATTCTTTTTTCCTGTAGCCTTCAAATTAACCATGATTTTGAGTCAACTGTGGAATCTGTCTCCAGTATTACCCCTCTGAACTGGAGCACTCTGCTACTCTATTGCAGAAATTAATTGCAGTTGTAGATAATCTATCACAGTGGGGAGTAATGCCCACTCTATCACAGAAAATGTAATGTTTATCATGTATATACCATATGCAGAACAGAACTATTTCTGGGAAAAACTAATTGGTACCTCATAAAATTCTCAAAGAGTCATTTTTATGACTCTTTGAGAATTTGTTAGTTAGCAAAAACTGTGAGAGAACCACTTCAAGATGACAAATTTTTTCTGTCTATAATAAAATGAGATGTTATTTAACAGTTGAACACAGATGAAGAACACTGATAGGCAAAAGCCAATGAAAAGCTGATTATTGAATCTAAGCTCTGTTCAGTTGCTCACAGACCATTAAAAATTCTATGGAAATCCAGTGGAACCCAAAGTCTTCAATATCATTACAAAAGCACAGTACAAATAAAAGATAAACCACAGTTGTAAATATCTTTAATTACTTCTTTAATAATAGGGCAACTGCACCAGAAAGACCAAGATGCATCTAAGCAATCCTACTAAGGAGACAAGACTAAAAAAAAAAAAAAAGGGGGGGGGGGGATTTTTTTGCAAAGGAAACTTATAATAGTACATTGTTTAAAATTCATATCACTGCCGTGATGTTTTAAAACAAAACTGAGGAACTAAAAATTACACTAAATTGAAAGTAGTTTAGTTAATATAATTATTAATTATGAACACCCACACAGTGACTTACTCTATTTTTGAAAGGCAATTACATTTTGAGATCTAACAGCTGCAGTCCTAAAGAAAAGAATGAGGAACAATTTGCTAAGAAGTGGATAGGAAAGCTAGATCTATGTAAAGAGGACTAAAAAATACAATAACTTTTCTCCTGTTTCCTTTTTAAGATGCACAATTTTTGTCTATTGGCTATTATTTATTTAAAACCTGATTTTTTTTTAACATTTTGAATTTAGTAAAAATTTCAGTTTGTCCTGACTTTTCTGAATAAACTTGATTTTTAAGACTTTCTCCCACTTTTGCTTTTCTCTGTCTTTCAAGATTTTCCTAGATGTGTGAGAATTTTATAATAATTTTTTTCACTGTTTTAAATATTTTCATTATAAAAATGTTTTGTAATTTATGAAAACTACTGCATCACTGTGCTCACTCAAAAACATAATCAAAATATCTCACGATAAAGCATTTTTTCAGACTTTTAAATTTTTCCCAGATAGAATTATCTGCTGATTACTTCCATCATATAGTTAATAAATTCAGTTGGCCACAGACACGTTTCCACTTACGAATATGCTTGAAATACAGAAAATATGCATATTATGGCATTTTAAAATTTAAAACATTTTTTGCAAAAACCACAAAATCTACCTTTTCAAATGTTCACAAGTCCACAAATTTATATACAGTAGTTATTAGTTTATTTATCTTATTTGCACAATTTGCATTCTAGAAAACGATGGTGAATTTCAGCATTAACACACAGCCAATGATAGTATTTGCAAAAATTAAAAATCAAATAATTCTAGTCTAATGACTTTTTGTTCCATATGACTATTTGAATGTGATATTATAAATATATTTTTAACATTTGAAACTATCAAATGAGACAAAATTATAAATTAAAGACTGTTACACACTAATAAACCAGAAGAGAATACCTCGGGAATAACATTAAAAGGGGGGGGTCTTGATTATTTTTATTTATTTTTTAACCTCTCGAGCAAAGTGAAAAGTTTTTCTGGCACAGAAATATCAATAAAAATACCATACTTCAAAATTAAATATCTTGGCTAATTTTTGTATATAATAAATACTCAATAATATATATAATAAATACTCAATATATTGTGAGGGACAAACACATTGTTTTATTTTTTGAATAAGTATAAAACCTTTAATAAACATTATATGAACCAGAACACAAAATGTTCTTTAGTGCACTATAAAAAGCAGATTTTTTACAATTTCTTTTAATAAATTAAAAAATATAATGTGAATATTTGCATCATTCAAAATATTGTGACTTGAAGTATATTGTTTATGGCCAAGAATTGTAAGAACTTTTATAGATACGGTGTATATTATATAATTTTCTGTTTTTTAATATTTTTCTTATTTGATTGCATACATTTTTGTATTGGGCTTTCCAATACCCTAAATTAAAAATAAAATAAAAATTTTTTAGAACCAATTGTTTTATTTTAGTATGAATATGAAATATAATAGTATTATGAACATGAAATATAAGTAGAATTTATTGCCTTTATAGAAAATGTTAAATCCAAATTCACATCAAATGCTTATGTTGAATGTAATCTTTTTCAAAGAATAAAAATACTTGTAAAAACAAAAAGTTATTTTAACATATATTTTACCTTTCGCTTTTTCATAGAATTTTTGGGTGCTTTTTCTTTTGGCAGCTTGTCAGTAAAGCGACCTAAAGAAGCTGTGGCAGTTTTTGCTGCAGCCAGAGACCTGGATAACTATAAAAATAAAGAAATATATAAATCCATGCCTTATATAAAAACACTTATGAATAGCAGTAACATTTATTGTAGTAGCTTACACAACAATAGTAACAAAACAAAACAAAAAAATCCTTACAATTTTGGTTTTAATTAAAGACAATACATTTACCTGATGCTTATCAGCTTTGTCAACAGATTCCAAATTTGTTACTAAAAGGGGGGATAAATGTTATTAATGTACCTTTAGTATCAACAATGCACAGCATTAAACTATTTAAAAAGAGAAAAAAAAAAAGTTTTCAGATACAATTTAAACAATATCATATAAAATGGCATCAAAATAACATGATACATTCCAAGAGAATAAATTCCAAAGTAACATGAAATTATATAATGTTTTTACTCGACTTTTATAGAGCAACTATACCTTTCATTTTCTGAGAAGCAGCAAGATTTCTCAATCTTTGATACTCATTTTTAGCCACTTTTTCTTTCTTTTCTCCTTTAATTTTCCCAAAATAGTCAACATTTGGATCTAAAGAAAAGTAAACATGGGTATAAAAGTATGTTGTTATAAACAAGATAAACAACTATTTTGACAAATTATTAGGTGCCAATCTGAAAATAAGCAAGTAACATTTGATTAATTCTACAATCAGCTGTCTTGATTTTATCTGGTCATGAGATTTACTTTCATTTCATTTCGTATTATATTATTCTGTTCCTCACATCCTATAATTTAAAAATCATCCTTACTATCTAATGATTACAGTAGGAAATCTCACTTTTCAATAAAAAGGTTACTAGTTGCATCAAAAATAAATAATGATCTGAAATTTAACTACAAATATGAACAGCAATCCTTTCAATACATGCTATTAAATGAAAAGAATGGCTATTATCATTAAGCCCATAATCAACACATTTACAACGAACAAAGAATTAAACTGTGGCTTTGCCATTTGACAAATCATGTAATCCATATTCACACGTTGACGCCACCCTGACCCACCGGTGGGTCATACTTGTCTGTTCAGTGAGGAATGCTTGATTGTTCTGTGGGCCGGCATGACCCACCGATCAGTCACACTTCTATATAAAAAAATACATATTTTTTAAAGCAGACTAAACAAAGTGCTGGCAAGCCCTTACAAATATCGCAATATGTTGTTACTTTCTTTGCTTTATATGTAGCGTTTATATCATTTCTTGTATCACTTTCTCATCTTACTCACGGATCCTTCATACGAATAAAAAAAATTGTTGTGTTTTGTTATTATTACTTCACTAGGGGGATTCATATAATGGGCAGCGAGTGAAAAGAACCGCTAGTTAAAGCCCGGCGGTGCGAAAAGAACAACGAATATCTGCTCCACCATCAACGTATTAAAGCACTTTAACAAAAACAATTTAAAATGTTGCAGGAAAAATTCATGTACTGATGTCCACTGCTCGATAAGCAAGACTATGAGTCACATTTCACTGGTCCCTGAGGTGTGCTACGAGGCTCTGACTGCCGAAAATATAATAAGAACAACATACCAATTTTTCTCTTTCATCATCCTCTCTGGGTACAACATATCACATATCATGTCTTTATCAAGTGTGTTTTACATTATGGAATATACTGTAAAATAGCACATAATGGGATAATCCAATTTAATTATAAATTTTTTGCTTTTCTTCTCACACACAATTTTCTAAAAAATTTATATATTATACTTATTTCTGCATTAGCTCTTAACATACAAAATAAAAATTAATAATAAAACAAATTTCTCTATTAAAAACAGTTAGAGGTATACTAATGAGTCAATTACCTGCATTATCTGGAACTTCTATTAGCCAATCTGTTTGGTTGCTGATACCTCGATAACCATATTGTGGTTTCCAGTCCTTGGGGAGGGGAAAAGCAATTTTTTATATTATAGTAAATATTTTCACACAGATTTTAAGAATTTAGGGATAAAGAAAACTTAAAAAGTTTCATGGTATGGTATGAATAGTAATTTACAGAAAGAAAAAAAGGAAACTTGCTAAATCTTAGCATAAGCAATGAGATTTTCTGCGAAAGCAAAACTTTCAAACTTATTGTGTGGCATTTTTACTGGAATGGAAGTCTGAAATGAAGTTCTTAAATATTATTAACAGCAGTTTAAAGCTTTAAATCAGTGTTTCTAAACAATGTTTATATGTTATAGAAACATAACATTTTCAAGTCTTGCATTTCTAATTGTCTCATTTAACTATTCTATGATGCTAATGATGAAAGAGTCCCCTCCTCCGGGAAGGATTAAGTTGATGCACAATGTTTATACAGAAAACTGTTTAATGTATACTCTCCTACATTGAAAAAGATCTTTAATTTTGATCAAATGTTTAAAATTGACATCTACATGAATTTACAAAACGTGCATTTACTTATTTCGTACTTCCAACTAATACATATTTATAACATATTGTTTCTTGGTATATTAGTTTATAGTTTTACAAAATCATGCTACTCTTTTTAAAGTCTGTTTTAGCTAATACTTTATTTTTCAAGCTGAGTCTTTCCTGCACTGTTACTGTTAATGCTATTACTCCACTAGAAGATAAAAATGAAATAAGTGTAAATAGAAGTGAGACTCTGAGTTTAAGAGAAAAGACTGCTAGTTTCAACTTGCCATAATGAAACTTCTCTGTTATTAACTTTGAGTGAACAGATGGTGTAAGTTTGATAAAAAATTATGTTAGCATTGCTGGAATAATGAAAATGGGTTGTTAAGCTTTATATTGTAATAATTTTAATGACTTTTGTCATTTAACCATATGAAGTGGAAGTTTTGTTAGACGTTTTAGCTCTGTAACTTCAAGATAAAGCTCAAATAAATATGTAATTGTTCTACATTGCTGTTAACTACTTTATTCTGATATTCAAAATTGTAAAGACAGGATATTAATTTGTCCAGAAGTATAAGAAGGTATGACTAATATTCAGATCAAGCCCAAGTGAACTGAACCTTATAACAGAATCACAAATCCAAAACAAGCAATGCAAGTTAAGCATTTTATTCCAGTAGGAATATGTTCACAGTTTCCTTAATAACTAACTTTATATGCACTTATAATATTTTTTTTACACTCATACAAATAACACTTAAAATTATTTTTACAGAAATCAAAGACAAAGTCATAAACGGGGAGAAAAAAATACCTTAGAGCTCTCATCCCAGACTAACTTTTCCTTCTTTTTCTTTTGGATTCCTTTAGTTTTCGCAAATTTCTCCCACTTTGTCAGAGGCTTTGATTTTGGCAACTGAACAAAACAAATTAATTTGAATATTAAAGAACAAAGAAATTTGAAACACTTATACTTCTATGTAACACAAATTTTGGAGTAATATGATTCCAAAATTGTATCTTTAATGCTACAATTATTAATTTAACCATCTCAGTGTTACGGCCGGAAAATTCCGCATAGAAGGCTGCCTTCTATATTCATTATACATGAAAATTTCTACTAGTTTTTAATGCATCTGATTTTGGTTTGGATGTATATTGGAAGAAAAGGAATCAAGGTACAAAATGAGAGTGTCATTTTTTAATTAAAATCAAGAAAATACCACTTATTTATGACATTTTGAGGAACTTTGAAATTTCAGGGCTAAACCCGTAACGCTCCGAGGGTTAAATTTAACAGTACCTCATTAAGTATGTTAAATAAAAATTTAAAAGATTAGAATAGGAATAGAAATAAATAGAATAAGAATGAGAATAGACTAAGAAATAGAAATAAAATATCTTTTATTTCTTACAATTGCTCTAATTTAATTATTAAATTATTCCCATTATAGGTAAGCCTTTGAAGATTAATCACCTTATGCATCATTTGCTGGTGAACACAGGCTATAAATTTACACAACATTTGTCCACATTATGTTAAATTATTCAACTTGTTTATTTGATGGAGTAGACGTGAAGATTACATTCAATCACACAAAACACTTATCTATTAATAACATTTTATGGATAAGAAAATTGACACTATACAAACATATATACATATTTTAAACATTATATGATATAAAGTATTCACTAACTTTAGTAAAAAATATGTAATGCTAATATTTCTTATACGGAACTTAAAAAAATAAATAATAATAATAATAATAATAATAATAATAATAAAAAAAAAGGGGGAAAAAACTCACAGGTTTTTCTCGAGGAATAACAGTACTTGGCTCTGGCAGCTAAAAAATAAAAATAAGAATTAGTAAATGCTCAGGATATGAGTAACTTAAAATTTCTCCATTAAGGAGAAATTATCATGTTCTTTGGGATACGCTGTACAATATGCTGCCGTGATTCAAATTTAAATTTAACACTAATGTATGTCTTGTAATAGAAAGTAATTTTTAATAGATTTTATAGGTAAATGAAAGTACTATCTTGTGTAATATGTGCTGTCAGATATGAATTTTTATTTCACAGAATCCAGATCTTTACACAAAACTGTCTATATCAGTGGTTCTCAATCTTTTTTTGCCTCATGCGCTCCTTTCACCACTGCTAGCCAATCCTCTCTCCTTTCCAAAGCTTGAAAAGTGCATATACATTTATTTAAATTTAGATTATTTTTTACTGTATTTTGTGAAGCAGATAAGAAAAAGTATAGAAAATGTTGACAGATAACAAAAATTGAATAAAAGCAGTTTTTTTTTTTATATATTCATAAACTAAATACTTAATCGCTAATAGGCTGCCTGTCTGAAACTATATTCTAAGGAATTAATATTGTTACAAAATATCCAGGCGCGGTAAGATAGCTTCTCCACAACAGAGTTTTAGGGTTGCCATAATATGGCATTGAAAGGCAGGGTTGGCGATATGCCACGGTCAGATGGAAAACCTGAAACGAATTTGTACCGGTTTGCCCAAAATGTTCTCGAACACAAGCCGGAAGCTACATAAACCCTGGTGGTCCACAGTCAGTGAGTGTGCCTCGCATAGAGTGCGAGATAGTTAGTCTCGAGTTAGTCAGTCAGTGCAGAGTCGATCGAGGTGATAATCGGGCAGCGAGTGCCGAGTGGGTAGTCGAGTGCATCGAAGAGTCTCTTAGTGTATCGTCGAGAGAGTGTGTTAAGCTCCGGGACCGACTGAACCGAAGAGTCAGGAGTTGAGTGCATCGCGAGTTGCAGCGTGGAGAGTCTCAAGAGTACGTGGAGTTCTGTAGCGACCGAGCAGAGTCAGCAGCCGTACTCTGGCGCTTTGCAGTGAAGCTGTCTCCACCGTTATTGCCTGTCAGTGTGAAGGCTGTGTCGCAGATTGTTACAGCATGTTTATAGTAGATCTTCGACTACTGTAAAAGTGTTTTGGAGCTGTCCTGATTAATATTGGTAAATAAAGTGTGTTTCGATATTCCATCAAGTGCTGTCGTCATTATTCACTCCAAATCCACACGAACCCCGTACTTACGAACATGAAATAAAGGAAAGAAAATAACGTAATAACTGGTGTCAGAAAAGAAAGAACACAACAACTGGTGTCAGAAAAGAAAGAATGCAACAACTGGTGTCAGAAGTGGGATTTGCGAGTGAATGCTAGTGACCTGCCTGCAGAGGAAAGCCATGACAGAGGAAATGAAGACTTTGATGGACTTCTTAGCCGAGATGAGAGCTGAGATGAAAGCCGGACAGGAAGAGATGAGAGCCGAGATAAAAGCCGGATATGAAGAGATGAAGGCTGAAATGAAAGACAGACTGGCTGAGATAAAAGCTGGATATAAAGAGATGACAGCTGAGATCAAAGCCGGGCTGAAGGAGATGAAAGCTGGATATGATGAGATAAAAGCTGGATATAAAGAGATGACAGTCGAGATGAAAGCCGGATTGAAGAGAAGAAATACATGTTGGCCAAGAAAAGGTATGACAGCAACTCCGACAGGTGAAAGGGGAAAGAACAGAAGAAACTAGAGCCACAAAAGACGAAGTGGAAATGAGACAATTGGCATCTGAAGAATCAAAGGATGAAGAAATGAAGGAAGTAGCTAATGAACTGTCTGAGAAAGATCCAGAAATGAGGGATGAAATATCTAATGAGATCAAAGACAGAGATTGAAAAGGTGAAGAAATGAAAGACAGAGAAGAAGTTTTTGATTCTCATGTGCCTGAAGTACAGATAGAAGAAAGTGAAAATGCGATTATCAAGATCGTAGAAAATGATAATGAAGTTAAGAGAGTCGCAGTTGGCAAGAGTTGAACCATCTGAAAGTGCATGTGATGCAGAGATGGGAGAAGCTGATATACAGCCTAGGCATTGCGCTCCAGTATTGCAAGAAAATTCAGCCACTTTGCAAACTATGTGTGCATCTCATAGTGCAGGTTTTGCAGACAAGGACTTGATTCTAAACCCAGATACTTCTGCTTGTAAAGGATCGGCTTCTATTCATGATCCTGGTGCAAACATTGGAACTAGCTTTCAGGAAATAGAGGCAAATAAGCATGTACCATTTGCTGAAAATATAACAAGGTGAACTGCAGGCATGCTGCAAATGAACTGCAGAGTGGTGAACAAACTGTCTCGGATCTTCCTGTGGATGACAAAGACAAGTCTGAAAGGACTAAATCAGGGTTCGTAGCCACTTTTAGTTAAAAAAAATAAGCACCTATAAGCACTTTTCAAGCACATTTTAAGGAAAAAATAAGCACCTGTCTAATTACTTTATACACAACTGCATAACCTTAAAAGACAAATTAGACTTTAAAATTAGACTGGATGTTTGATTAATTTAAAATATGAGCAATGCAATATTTATTAAGAGAATGAGCATTACCTCAACCATGGAAAACAATTAACATTTTTTTTTTTTTTTTTTTTAAATTTCAAATGACAGTTCAATTTACAGAATTAGTTTACAATGAGACGGGGGAAAAAAACTATGCAGAACTAAACTATATTACAAGATTTAATGATGAAATTTCAGTTCAAAATATAGAAAATAAATAATAGTAAGTCATATTAATTGTATTCGTTTGACAATTTAAATAATTTAACTTAAATTAAAATTCTGAACATTTTCTAAATTTCCATTGCATAACAGTTTTCCCTTAACATATATTCCAAGCAAAGTAATTTAAGTAAAAAAGAGGCACATTTCTGAAATCAGAAGGTGGGAAATTGCTTCATGCAGTCATCCTTTAACAGTAAAAGCTTAACTAACCCACATACTCGGAAATTGCCAAATATTACGGACAGTAACTGGAAAAAGAGGAGTGGGGGAGATTGTTGCCATTCTTTAGATTTCTCGGCTAAATAAATGATTTTGACATTTTGATATGTGCATCACATAAAAATAGACCAGCGGAACTGAGAAATATTCTTCTTAGAAAGCACAGTAAAACTCTTTTAAGTGTTCATAAACAAATTTCAGACTGAACATCAAAATTAATTATCTGTGCAAAATACCGCAAACATTATTGCGCAATACGTGAGGTGTAATTCTTCCATAGGTGATATTACGCAATCGGAATCAACAGCTACTGGTATTCGAAGAATAAAGAATTAAATAAAGGAAAAGAAAGAGACTTGCTAATCTGGGGTGTTTTTGATTCTAATTTTCAACAGACTGCGTTAAATTTCCGGAATAGAATCAATCTTCGCTTGGGTTGGGTAGACAACAAAACTTTTAGTCCTATTCAATCCAGATTAGACAATGATATAAAAAAAGTCTGTTGCTTGTTTTGCTGTGAACTGTAATGCTTCAATATTAGAGATTTTGCGGGAGACAGGGGAGAGCCTCCCAACCTCCATACTGTATAATGTATTGGAAAAAAAAAATGAAATTATTTTGACTATTCGAATATTTTCCTTTTATTTAAGTCATTCTGAATATTATTCCTTAGAAAGCTAATTTGTGTAAAAACATACCCATTTTGGAAGTTTATCTATACTTCAGCAGTTACTGCAACTATATTATAAATATTCATACATATGCTCATAATATAAGCATAACGATCAAAATAAACACGAATATGAACTGACCACGTGGAAAGAGAATGCAAATTATTAAAATCTTGATAGAAATTCAAACGTGTGTAGTATTTGGGTGGGAGGAAATGAATACCGAATGTATCGGAATTTTCTACTGTTTTTGCAATTCTTTGACCAATAGAACTACGTGCACCTGTCTGTACTCTCGTGCGCACCATAGGTTACGTTAATACAGAGAAGGGGGGAAAGCAATTTCCGGGAGTATGATTCACCATCTGGCGTTGCATATAAGGAAGAAAAGTTGTTTATTTAGTTTCGGCTTTGTACGGGGAAAAAAATACGCATTCATTAAAAAAAGCACCGAAATCAAAAAATAAGCACTAAAAACAAAAAAATAAGGGCTTTAAAGAAAAAGTAAGCACCTATAAGGGCCTTTATATTTTATTTTCAAATATAAGGACTTATAAGCACTTGTAAGGACCGCTATGAACCCTGTGAATCTTCAGACTGTGACATGCAAAATACAAATACATCTGAGAACTGCAGTGGAGTAGGCTAATCTTTGGAATAACAGGTAGTTTGGCGACATTTTGGTAAGGCGATAAAGGTTACTAGCTAGGACTTTAGCAGTGTACATGGATAAAGTCAAGAGTGTGTGCAATGCCATTTTTGTGCAATTCTGGGATGTTTTTCTAAGTGAAAATAGGTCGATGTGTACATGAATGACACCGTGTATGTGCAATTCTTAAAAACGCGACAAGCAGTGGCCGATTCTGCACTTTTTCCCAATCTTGCACCTAATCTTCGACACGATTAAGCACTTTTGTTCCATAAAAGTTCAAGCATAAGCGTAATTCAGCTAGCAGATTGTTGGGAAAAAAATGTTGAGGTAAAAAAAAAAAAAAAACTAGCAGGTTGCTGTAGCAGTGTTGGTTGCCAAATTTCGCCAAGTTACCATAATCCAAAGATTAACTGTGGAGTATTTGACCCCGGGTATAATTTAATGAAAGGACTGAGACTGAAATTCATTCTTAACTTTAATTTGTATAATTTAAAATTATTATATATTTAATTTGTGTATATAACTTGTATATAGTGTATATATTTGTTTCTTTAGTTATGTTACTTGTTTATTTTATTGTTTTGTTTGTATCGAATTTGGCTTCTGACCAAGGGTTGTACTGCCCCGGACATCTCCTTGGGAGGGGGCAGTTTTACAAAATATCCAAGTGTGGTAAGATAGCGTCTCAGGAAAGCAGTT